AAAGTAGATCTCTCATCACACACACACAAAAGTAACCGTGTGCGGTGATGGATGTGGTAATTACCTTGACTGTATGCATCTGTATATTAGATCACTGCATTGTATACCCTACATTATAATAATTACATATAATTTAAAATATATTGATGAAACATGGATGCTAAGAAATCGAGAGGGACTAGATTCCAGTGAAGAAAGAGCCCCTTCCAGGTGAGTGGCCCCCAGCAGTCTCGGAAGAACTGGGCGCTGCTGGGGCCATGTGGGCTTGCAGGACAGCCTGGACCCCAGAGGAGCTAGAAGCACTGCCCAGGTTGTCTCCTATGGGACCTTGCCTTGTGCTGGGTGGGGAGTGTATGGGGCTGAAGAGGAAGAGTGAAAAAAATGTTATTTTCCTGCTATAACGCAGGAGTCGCAGGTCAAGATGTAAGTGAATGTCAGGACACCTGGACTAGAATGGAGGCTAACATGGGGAAGTGCAGCCCAGTCAGCTCAACTACCGTAAGGAACCCTCCCCCCAGCTGCTCTCTGGTGCAGATCTATCTGGCAGATCATCCTCTCACAGTGCTTGGGATGTGATGAAAATTTTGATACACACGAAGTGGGAAAATGTTACCTGAAATGAAGAAGGAACAACAAACAGCTGGTAGGAGCAGACCTACAGGGGCCCCAGATGTTGAAGTCAGTTGTCAGGGATTTTAAAAATTACTGTAGTAAATATGTTAAAGAATATAGAGGAAAACAGGGCAGGAGGTTGAAAAGATGGAGGATTTCAACAGAGAAATGGAAACTCTACAAAGAAACAGAAGGAAGTTCTGGGACTAGAAAATACTTAGACAAGATTTAGAGGATGTGGGCAGCTTACAGGCAGACACAACAGAAGGGGGATGGATGTCTCTGAAGACAGGTCGAAATTGCCCAAATGAAGCCCAAAGGGAAAAATCAGAGGAAATGTTGGGTGTGAGAGACCTGTGGGATCACATGAAAGTCCTACATACAGGCAACTGGATTCCTGGGGGGAAAAATAGAAAACATGAGCAAAACAAATATCTGGAGAAATAATCACAGGAAATTTCCCCAAACTGATGAAAAATATCAACCCACAGATCTAAGCTCACCAAATGGTCAGAAGGGTAAATAGAAAACTTGTCATACAGATCAGTAAAAAACACACAACCCAATCAAAAAACGGGCAGGAAAAAAAGAAGACCTGAGACGTTTCCCCAAAGACAACATACAGATGGCCAACAGGCACATGAAAAGATGCTCAACGTTCCCAAGTATTAGAGAAATGAAAATCAAAACTACAATGATGTACCAGCTCATACTAGTCAGAATAACTATCGTGAAAATTTCCACAAATAACAAATGATGGTAAGGGTATGGGAACCCTCCTACACTGTTTCTGGGAATGTACACTGGTGCAGCCACTGTGGAGAACAGTGTGAAAGCTCCTTAAAAAAAGAACTTTCCTGTCTGTCTAGTGGTTGGGAATCTACACACCAGTGCAGGGGACACTGGTTCGATCCCTGGTCTGAGAGGATCCCACATGCCAAGGGGCAGCGAAGCCCAAGCACCACAAGTACCGAGTTCAAGCCCATGCTCTGCAACCAGAGAAGCCACTACCCCACAACCAGAGGGCAGCTCCCGCTCCCACAACTAGAGAAAGCGTGCACAGCCCAGTACATAATTTTTAAAAACTAAAACAAGAGCTGCCATTAGATCTAGCAATTCCACTGCTGGGCATACATCCAGACAAAACTCCAATTTGAAACGATATATGTACCCCAGTGATCACAGCAGCACTATTCATAATAGCCAAGGCATGGAAGCAACCTGAATGTCCACTGAGAGAGCAACGGATAAGTAAGATGTGGTACAATCGGCTATACCCGAATACAAAAAGGTTTTTGGTGTTAAAAAAAATAAAGATGCTATAAAAATAAAGATATGGTACATACATACAGTGGAATACTACTCAGCCATATAAAGGAATGAAATAATGCCATTTGCAGCAATATGGGTAGACCTAGAGATTATCATAATAATCGAAGTAAGTCAGAGAAAGACAAATACCATAAGATATCACATATATGTGGAATCTAAAATATGACACTGATGAACTTATTTACAAAACAGAAATAGACTCAAAGAAAACAAATTATGGTCATCAAAGGGGACAGAGACTGATGGAGAAATAAATTAGGAATTTAGGATTAACAGATACACACTGGTATATATGAAACAGATAACAAGGACCTACATTATAACAGGCAACTATATTCAATATCTTGTAATAAACTATAATGGAAAAGAATCTGAAAAAGAATACTTACATTTATACACACACACACACATAACTAAATCACTTTGCTGTACATCTGAAACTAACACTAAATCAACTATTCTTTAATAAAAAATAAACCACACACCTGATCAAATAAATTTAAAACTGATAAAACGCACACAGGACAAGAAAGGACACATTCCTTTGAAGGAGACAGTGCCCACTCAACTCTCACTGGGAACGATGGAGCAGTGTCTTCAAACGCTGAGGCAACAAAGTCACACCCAAGCCACCTGCTGACCCAGAGTTCCATTCCCACCAAAAATACCTTCTGCTGATGCAGGTGAAATAAAGGTATTTTCAGGCCACCAAAAGGTAGGAGAATTTGCTGCCAATGAACTCACACCATGGGCATTTAATAGGAAGCTTTTCAGGGTCTCAGAGAGAACCTCTGGTAGATCTGCAGGAAGCCTGACCATGTGGGCAAAACTCTTTAAAAAATGTGACTGAAAGACTTGACCATATAAAGTAAATATGACTACAGGGGAATCATCATGGGCTTATATGTCGGAAGTACAATAAGTAGTAAAAAAACAGCACAAAGCGGGTCTAAGTGGGAATGGGCCAAGAGCATACAGGTGGTCCTCTGTTTTGCACTTGTTTCCTGTGTATTACAAAAACTGCCCTGTGAACCAACGCCCCTAGGGCTCCCATCACCACAGGGCTGGGCTGGCCTCCTCTGCCTGCCTTCCCAACAGCACCATTTCCACTTTCCCATGACACAGAGATGGCCTCCATCACCCCACTCCCCCATGCCCAGTCGGGCAGCGCTGACTTTCTGAGGCCTCAGGGCTGGAGAGACGCCTAGGACACATGTGGAAGCCTCGGCTCAGGGTTGTTTCACCAGCTTCCAAAAAGGCTGCAATGCCAGATCTTCCAGCCTGGGAGTATTATGCTACCACTTCACCCTCAGGCATGCCCAGTCATCACCTTTAAAATCCAGCTGTCTCTTGAGGACATGCCTTGTGGGTGACTGTCCTCTAACTCACAGTGGGGACTCCAGGCTCTACCTGGAAAGTTTCCTTCAGCAGCAGTTCTTTTTTTAAATTCATTTTTATTTTTGGCTGTCCTGGGTCTTCATTGCTTTGCGAGGGCTTTCTGTAGTTGCAGTACCCTGGGTGCTTTGCATTGCAGTGGCTTCTCTTTTGTTGTGGAGCACAAGCTCTAGGGCGCATAGGCTTCAGTAGTTGCGGCTCCTGGGCTCTAGAGCACAGACTTAGTACGTGTGCTTAGTTTGCAGCACACAGGCTTAGTTGCTCCAGGGCATGTGGAATCTTCCTGGACCAGGGATGGAACCCGAGTCCCCTGCATTGGTAGGCAGTTTCCTAACCACTGGACAGCAGGGAAGTGCCAGCAGCAGCTCTAAGTCCCTGCTCTGACACTTCTCGCTGACTCCGGTTGGACACTGCCCCTCCGCCATCTCCTGCTGTGTCATCTCTGGCTGCTCACCGCCAGCGTTGCCTCTTCACGCCCTTCTTCTCCTCCCCGAGCCTTTTCTCAGATCTTCCTTGGACCCTCACGCACCTTAAGAGTTTACTCTTTGTTTCTAAATAAAAATTTCGCTTATTTTTACCTTTGCTTCTCAAATCTGATCGGCTGGTTCTGAGTCCAGTTTTTGTGTCTGTCCTTCGTGTTTGAATTTCTGATCCTAGATGGTTTCACATCTTCCACTGCTGGGAGAGTCTTGTCCCTCTCAGGCCCCATGTTACATTCTAGGGAACCTAGGGCTCCAGGCTGTAGGGTTGGGGGACCTCTACCCACCTTGGCTGGCTGCCCCTAAGGCCCGGCAGGGGTAGGCGGGAGGCCAGGCTCCTGGAGGAGCTGGGCACATTACTTATTTCGTGGGTAGGACATTGCATGCCCCAGGCCTTCCTCATGTTGTCGTGACTTGGGGTCCCTGTAAAGCTGCTCCAGGAGCCACTACAGTCTCTATCAGGCCAGAGTCAGAGGGCAGCGTGGCCAGATCCTAGTGAGGGCCCACCTCCTGGTCTGCAGATGGCTGCCTTCCTGCTGCATCCTCCAGAGCAGTGGTCACTCTTCCTCTCTGTATAGGGACCCTGGCCCCATCCTGGGGGCCCAATCTCCTAAGACCGACCCCACTGAGGGTTTGGCGAAAACTCTAGGCCCCCAAGAGGGCGTTTCCTCAGCCATCACAGGGCTCCTTGCTTTGCTGCGGGGTTCACTGGAAACCCAGCCATCCAGACGTGGCTGAGGCCTTTCTGCTCCAGGAAGGGAATCCGTCTGAGTGGGGGTTTCAAGTGGATTTGTGTAAACTGGAGCAAAGTTCCCGATCCTTTATGTTCGAATTTGTGGCTCCTCTGTTCTCACTGTGATGTAGTTCACTGATTTCCCCACTTGCCCCCAATAAACCAACCCGGTTCTTATCTCCACTTCAGTCCTCTTGTTTCCCACCTCCGTTTCTCCTGAGCAGGGGGTTGCTACTCCCTGGCTCCCTCCCCAAGTCGTGTGCCTCCTTTCCAGACACCCAGTCTTGCGTGTCCCTTCCTAGACACACCCCTTTGACAGACTGGACACCATGCTGGGAATTGGTTTCATTTTCCTTTATTTTTTTTTAAAAAAGCCCCTAAGTTCTATGGCTTCCAGGAAGCATCAGAGAAACGGAAGTGCCATTTCTGTACACTTTGTAAAGCCAGACCTAGACGCACGCACCGCGAAGACGCCCCAGCTGCTCTGCCCGCAGCTCGCGGCCCCAGGGGACCACTGGAACCGCACCGACGGGGCTGCCCGCTCCACACACACCTGCGGGGCTCAGACGGGCTTTAAGGCGCTTGTCTCCAGGCTCGGCCGGCAGCGCGGAGCGACACGAAGAGCCCGCACACGAGCCGCCCACGGGCCTCGAGGTGGCTGCCCCCAGCCCAAGTTCAGGCCGGCGGCTCCGCCGACAGGTGCCCAGGACCCCTGAGGGCCGCGCCTGCCGGCCCAGGCTTTGGTGCAGCATTTTGGTTGGGGGCCGCCCCCACCCCGCCTTCCCCTCCAGTCTGGGGAGACCCAAGGCGGGCTCACCCCCGGCAGCATCGCCCCGCAGCGCCCCCTCGAGAAAACGGCCTTTGGATCGAGGGAGACAAGCTGGACTTTATGACACTAACGGGTGGGCGGCGGTGCTGGCGGCCGCTCTACTCACTCAGCAGACGCGGGCGGGGGCGCAGGGCAGGGCAGCCGCCGTGGTTTCTCTTTTCCTTGTTTTAAATAGTTAATGCTCTCGGAGGGGAGGACTAGACACAGGTGTAGAAATCTCGGCCAAAATCTTATGTGAAGGTCGTGACCCCGAGTGGGGGGCGGCAGCGCTGCCGGCCTGCAGTCTGCGTCCGGCTGTGGCCAACGCGGCCGTGGACAAGCTGGCCCCGGGGGGCTGCAGCGGGAGGATTCGGGGGTCACTGCCCTGGGGTCACTTGTGTCGCTGTAGTGATTTTCTCTTTCTCCTTTTGAAGAAACAGCAGCACCTGGAAGGGGGACACAGGCTGGAAGGGGGCACAAGCTGCGGAAGGGGTAAGGGTGGAGAAGGAGGGGCAAGGGCTCGAGGGGGCAGACCCAGGACACCCCTGCGTCCCGTTCCTGCCACGGGCCTTACTTTGTGTCGTCAGCCACTTCCACCTCTGCAGGGGCTGTGATGGGGGCGTTGGAGTGCCCGGCGGTGGGGTCGTCGGCATTCAGCTCCCCATTGGTGGAGTTAAGTGCCTGCCGGGGGGGGGGAGGGGGCGGGGAGTCATGTGGGCCCCGCCTGACACAACCACCCCCACCCAAAACACACACACTTTAGTGCGACCCTTAGCCTGGCACTCACCTGGTTTTTGCTGTAGAGCAGGGCTTTCTCTCGAACCTGAGGCTGCGCGGGCAGGTCAGAGTGAGCCGTGCCGATGGGCGTGGGCTGCACGAGAGCCAGAAGCAGCTGAGGCTTGGCTGGGGGCCCCTGCCAGTCACCCCCACCTGCCAGGGGCCCCTCCCGTGCCAGCCCCCCTCCCTCCACATACCAGGGGCTTCCCGGCCCAGTCGTACTCGTAGTCAAACACGAAGCCGCTGCGGTCAAAGAGATCGGTGAAAAGCTTGCGCAGGTAATCATAGTCTGGCTTCTCAAAGAAGTCTAGGCGCCGCACGTAGCGCAGATAAGTGGCCATCTCCTCTGCAGACACCAACAGAGCTAGTGGAGGCCCGGGGAGGGGGCACTGGGCAGGGGTCTGCAGAGCAAGGGGGCCAGGATACGTGGGGAGACGACTCTCACCTGGGAAGCTCTCACAAAGCACCTCGATGGGCGTGGCCCGCTTGGTGTCCCCGATCTTCTGGTAGCGTTCCTTGAGCGTGTCGGCCTGCGGGGGAGTGCGGTCAGCACCTTGGCGAGCCCGCCCACCTGCGGGAGACCTCCGGCCTGCCCACCCGGCCTGGCCCACCCACCTTGAGACCCTGCCAGGGCAGGCTGCCGCGCAGAAAGTACATGAACATGTGGCCCAGCGCCTCCAGGTCATCACGGCGACTCTGCTCTGCGGGGGACAGCAGGTCAGCACGGCCCTCCCAACCCCCGTCCCCTGCCCGGCCCACACGCCACCCACTCACCCTTGCCCAGGTGCGTGTTGATGCTCATGTAGCGTGCCGTGCCTGTCAGGCTCTTGTGCTCGCGGTACGGGATGTGCTTCTTGGTCTCGGGGTCGATGTACTCCTTGGCCAAGCCGAAGTCGATGATGTGGATGGCGTGTTGCCGCTTCGTGCCCGGCCGCCCCACTAGGAAGTTCTCCGGCTTCACATCACGGTAGATGAGGCTCTTGGTATGCACGTACTCCATGCGCGTGATCTGCCAGTGCGTGGGCGGTGGTAGGTGGGCCTCAGCCCGCTCTCTGCGCCCCCAACTCCCGCCCCTCCCCCGCCCCGCCCCTTCTGCCCCAACCCGGCCCGCACCAGCTGGATGGCTATCATGAGCACCGTCTTGAGCGTGAACGTGCGGTCGCACAAGTCGAATAGGTCCTCTAGGCTAGGCCCGAGCAGCTCCAGCACCATGGCGTTGTACTTCCCGCACGGGCCGAAGTAGTAGACCTGAGGGACGCCCTCTGCGGATGGAGGACATACAGACTAGCGCGGAGCGCAGGCGGGCTCCCCCGGCTCCCCCACGCCCGGCCCTGGGGTACCTGCGGCGCTGAGCTGCTTGTAGAAGCGGTACTCCAGGTGCAGCTGCGGCGCCCGGGACTTGATGGGCTCCTGGGAGGGACGATAGGACGCGTGGGCGGTACGCAGGGCGTGGTCCTGCCCTCCTCCCGCCCTGACCCTGGCCAGGCCCATCGGGACAGCTGCCGCTTGGGGCTAGGGAGAGGGCTTGGACTCACCAATTTGATAGCTACGTATTCATTTGTATAGAGATTCTTTCCTGTGGGAGAAGCAGCACGTCAGGTCCGCGGGACTTCCAGCCCTCGAGACCGCGCGAACCACCCACCCCTCCAAGGGGCATCTCCTGTTCCCCCCACAGCACTCCTTGCGCTTGTCCCCTCCTTTCCCAGTCTGGGAGGGAAAAGGATGCCTGCAAGGGGCTCCCCCAGGCTGTGAGCACCCCCACCCATCCCGTCCCCAGGCCAACCCTGCCTCCGCCCACTAGGGGGGCTGCTCCCCTATCCTCAGCGGGATCCTTCCCACCAGCACACCCATGCACTCCAATTTCTCCCATCTAGAAGAGTGAACACAGAACAGAGTCCTGGTGACCCCAAGGCCCTTCTTCAGCTCCGGAGACCTGGAGGAGACATCCACACAACCCCACACCCTGTCTCTGTCCCCAGATGCTCTCTGAATCCTCCTCCACCACGCCATTTGACCAGCACTCACCCTCTTGGTTCCAGGGACCCTCGAGGGCGCCCCCCAAACTGCACCCTACCCGTAAATCCAAATAGTTAAGTTGTAAACCTCTGCTGGACAAGCCCTACCGCCTCACTGCGGAGCAAGGGCCCCAGGCCACGAGCCCCTTCCCTAGCCTGAGGCTTCCCAGCACAAAGCCCACTGGGAGGAAAGTAACCTGCGTCCTTGGCTTAGAAACTGACATGCTTGCGGCAGGAGGTCTCCCGTCGCCCCTCACCAGCCACCTGGCCCTCCAGGTGTGCATGGAGAACCAGCTATTGTGCTCAACCTCGTAAAACTGCAAACACAAAAGTTCCAGAACCCCTGCGCAGGCCAGCTTTTCACCTGCTAGTTGCCACCCTTGGCTGAGCCCCAGACAGCGCCCAGGGGCGGCAGCCTGTGTGCATACCCAGCAACCTGCCGCACCCTCTGCCCCTCTCAGCACCAGCCGGCCACGCTCTGGGGCCTGAGTGCTGTGCCCCCAGGAGACCTCATGCTGAATCACCCCACTGCTGCATCTTGCTTCTGAGAGGGTCCAGTGTGGGAAGAGGCCTCAGCTAACCCTCCATCCCCCTGCAGTGGGACAGTCTGAGTGCCCAAGGTGCTGGGCCCATCTGCCCCATTCATGGGGTGGCTGAGACACCGATCTGTAGGACCACACAGGCTGAAGCCAGGGCCCACATGCCTGTCATATCAGCTCCCTCCTCCCCACATCCTGGGTCTCCCATCACTGTGGCCCCCGCCTGGGGTCTTCAGCTCAGCCCCTGCTCCTCCAGGGCCTCGGTTTCCCCTGTGGTGCACAATCAGCTGGTCAATTTCCCCAGAGACCTGACAGCATGGCCCCCAAGTCTGCAGAGGAATCGTGTCTTGGGAATTAACTTCACAATGCGCTTAGTGCTCAGCATAGGGCGCATACCACCTTCGTTAGGTTTATCCTGGAGGCACCTGGAGGGTAGATTTTTAAATGTTTCTTTTCCAACTGTAGCTCCAAAGGAGAAATACAGCTGATCCATGCTGGTACACCCAGCAGCCTTACTAAACTCACTCCCTCCTGTTTACTGAGCAGCCACTCTGGCCTCCGCACATGGACAGTCAGGCTGTCTGGACGGGTCACGCATGTTTCTTCCTGTCCCATCTTTCCACATTTGGTCCATTCACTGCCGCTGTCGGGAAAGGGTACCCTCTAGAACCCCTCCTGTAGCCTCTATTCTTCCATTCTGATAAGACACCCGTGGGCAAGGAGAGAAAACCTCCATCTAGTCCTGGTTGTCAGATTTTGAGTAAAAAACAGGCATGCTTCTTGTGTCCCCCCGAACATTTTATTATGAAAGCTTCAGAAACAGAAAATACAAGAGTTGGGGGCACAAAGCCTGCACCCTCGCCGCCAGGCTCGTCAGCTCATGGTCTTCTCTGCTCTGCCGCACGGCTGCAGTTGTCACCTGTTCATTCTCAAGATGCGTCTCAAAGTTGTAGACCTCAGTCCCCTGTTCCCTAAGTACTCCAGCCTGCAGACCACCTTTAGTCTGTACTCAGTCCCTGTTTTTCCCTTGGGAAGCGACATTTATCACTGAAGAGCCCTACATGAGCTCTGTGCCACCCCACCCCATCAGGACAGAGCACATCCCACTCACCTCCCCAGAGGAGGCCTTCCTTCGGGAGCGCGTCACTTCTTGGCCAGATCTGCTGGCTTGTCCTGCCCTCCACACCCCCAGCCACCTGGCCGCTGGCTCCTGGGAGGTGTCTGTTTGGATCTCACGCCCAATTTTAATCGCACCGCCTGTCTTCTGACTGAGCCATACCCTTTTCCTGTGCCGTGGACACTGGCGTTTTGTCCAGGGGTGCTCTGCAAACAGCACCTCCCAGTATGCAGCTCGCCTGCTCCTGCTCTTAACAACACTTCTGGATGTTTAAACTTCGATGATGTCTAACTGGTCCCTTCCAGTAAATAGTGATCTTCTTCTATGTCTTGTGGTAGAAACCTCATGTTTTGCTGCATGTGTAAGCTCTGGGGTTCAGCTGAGTTTAAGGTGAATGTGTGGTCTGTGCACACGCAGGCAACTAAAGTCCGTGGTTACAGTCTCCCCGTGGACCTCAGGTGTTCTGGGCTCGGCAGAGTACGTGAAGAGTAAGAGTCTGTGAGGCCTGATGAATAACAACTCAGGGGGGACACTGTGAGCAGAAGGGAGATGCCAGGGGCTGCCCAGGGCAGGAGCAGGCTTGCAGACACTGCATCCAGGGCATGGAGACTCCCTGAGCTCCCCTCCATTCGGCTGAAAACCCGGAGAGCCCATGTATTGGGAGGGGCGTGACTCCAGCCCTTAAATAATGTCTTCTCTTGGGCCAGCCTATTAAGCTGCGAGCCAGCCCCTCATGGGTTCAAAATGAGTCCCCAGGATGAAGCATAATCCAGACCTCACAGGTGCTACCCACATTGTCCAACAACTGATCAAACATCAGTACACATGTGAAAAACGGAACAGGACCGTAAGAAGGAAAAACAGAATCAAAGGGACCCTAGACACTGGCGTTTAAAATAGATACTGCAGACAGGAACCCTCCTACACTGCTGGTGGAAATGTAAGGTCGTGCAGCCACTGTGGAGAGCAGTATGCAGATTCTTCAGAAATCTAAAAACAGAGCTGCCATATGATCCTCCAACTGGGCATATATCTGGTGAAAACTCTAAATTCAAAAAGACACATGCATCCCAATGTTCACAGTAGCACTGTTCACAGTAGCCATGACAGGACATGGAAGCAACCTAAATGTCCATGGACAGATGAGTGGATTGAAGATGTGAGACATATATACAATGGAACACCACTCAGCCATAGAAAAGATATGAAATAACTTCATTTCCTGGTGGTACAGTCGATAAAAATTCACCTGCCAATGCAGGGAACATAAGTTCCATCCCTAAGCCACAGCTACTGAACCCATCCTCAGCAAGATACGCCACCACAATGAGAAGCTAATGCACTGCAAGGAAGAACAGCCCCTGCTAGCCTCAACTAGAGAAAGCCTGAGCACAGCAAGGAAGACCCCACAGAGCCAAAAATAAATTTTTTAAAGAGATGAAAAAAAAAAACAATGTCTATATATGTGTAACTAAATCACTTTGCTGTAAGGTAGAAATTTACACAACATTATAAATCGACTATATGCCAATTAAAAAATAGCTACTTTAAGTATATTCAAGAATTAAAGGAAAAGATGGGCCAAATTAACAAGCAGATGGAAAAATCTCAACAGGAAAAATAAGAGGAATCAAATGGAAGTGAGAAATACCATGTATGAAATGAAAATTTCAGTGGATGTACCTATTATAGATGCTGCAGAAGGAAAAAAAGAGTGAACATACAATAAAGAAATGAAAGCTGTCCAGATTGAAGAAAGAAAACAAGCTGCGAAAAAACTCAAAGGAACTTGAGGGACCTGTGGGCTAGCATCAAACACTCCTGACAGGCTTCTCAGGTGGCTCAGTGGTAAAGAATCTGCCTGCCAATGCAGATCCCCGGTCCAGGAGGATCCCACATGCCACAGAGCAACTGAGTCTTTGTGCCACAACCTGCACTCCAGAGCCTGGGAGCTGCAACTCCTGAGCCCATGTGCTGCAGCTACCCCAGAGCCCGTGCTCTGCAAGAGGAGAGGCCACTGCAAGGAGAAGCTGATGCACTGCAACTAGAGCGTAGTCCCAACTCACTACAAACACAGAAAAGCCTACACAGCAACGAAGACCCAACGCAACCAAAAACAAACAAAACAACAACACACTCCTGACCATAAGTGACTGGAGTACGAGAAAGAGAAGAGACTAGACAAAGGCAGAAAAAGTATTTGAGGAAATAATGGCAATCTTTGCCCAAATTCAATGAAGAAGCGCGCAAATCCTACAAACTCAATGAACCCCGAGCAGGATAAACAGAAAAGCACACCTAAACAAGGCAGAATGAAAATCTGAAGCCAAAGATAAAAAGAAATCTTTGGGGGCTTCCCTGGTGGTCCACTGGTTGGGACTCCACTCTGCAATGCCGGGGATACCAGTTAATCCCTGGTCAGGGAAGATCCCACATGCCATGAGGCAACTAAACCTATGTGCCACAACTACTGAACCCATGCTCTCAAGCCTGACAGTTGCAAATATTGAACCCTGCACACCCTAGAGTTCATGCTCTGCAACAAGAAGTCACTGCAACGAGATGCCCTGGCACTGCAACTAGAGAATAGCCCCTGTTGCAAGTAGGGAAAGCCTGTGCCCACCTTTCTGAAAACCCAGAGCAGCCAAAAATTAAAAAAAAAAAAGAAAGAAATCTTTGAAAACAACCAGGAAACAAGACACGATACACAGAACAAGGCTCAGCATTAGTCACTGGGGAAAAGCAAATGAATTCCATATTAGGCACCATTTCACACCCACCGACATGCTCAGAATGGAAAGCGGGCAACCCTAAGTGCAGAGGAGACTGTGGGACATCCAGCGCTCTCCTGTGCAGCCTGGAGGGTTTAAAGAGATTCCCCGGCTCCGGAGACCAGTCTGGCGGTCCCTCATAAGCACTTACACTCTAGAAGAGCGCCCCGGGGCGGTTTTATTCACAACACCCCAGACCTGGGCACCGGTCCCTCAGCAGGACGAGAAGAGAGAGGAACCCAGAGTCACGTAGGCAGGCGCAGGAAACTACGTGACTGAGCAGTGGGGGCGGGCAGGGGCGCCACGCTAAAACCACTGGCGCTCCAGCCCTGACCAACCTTTACACATGAAGGGCACAGCACGCACACGGCGGTGTTCCATATCTGGGTTTCGGAGCAACAACCGAACCTGGATTCTTAAAAGGCATTTTCTGCTAAAATTACCCAGACCTGTGCGGTTCAGACTGCCGCCTCAAATGCCAAGGGCAGGACCCGGGGGTGTGAGTGCGTGCGCGTGTCCGTGACAGCACGTGCGGATGCTTAACTGCGCAGCAGGGCTGAATCTCAGCCACATCAGGGGAAGCTGCGGTCGGGCAGTGGGCGGTGCAGGCCAGGCTGGGGGGAACCCATGGTGGGGGGGGGGGTGTGCCTCCCCAGCCCACACTCATGCCATCAGCAGCCTGGCCCCGCCCTTTAACCAGGAGCCCTGGAGCCTGGGCGGGGAAGCTCTGCCGGCCCCACCCCAGCGCCCTCGGAATCTGCCAAGGTGCAGACTCTGGCCGGGCCTCTCCACCCAGCCTCACGGGGCTGCCGGACACATTTGACACTGGCAACAGCAGACACAAGCTGGGCAATGACCACCAGACAGGGACTCGGGATCGCCCAGAACTCACCACCAAGGGCTGTGCAGGATACGCCCTTGGTCCTCCGCTCTGCCCCGTCAGGTACCATGGGCCAGGAGCCCGTAGCACAACTGCTCCTTCCTTGGTGGCAGAAGCCCCACGCACTTACCTGTGTCCCGTCCCCACGACTCCCACCGCCCCCAGGGCCCCAGACGTGATCGCGCGGGGCTCACCTAGCCGGAGCTCCCCGAAGTTGCCACAGCCTATCTTCTTCCCGACCCGGAAGTTGGGGCCCACCATCAGGACCCCCGAGCTGGTCCCCGAGCTTCGGACGCCATGGCTGGCCCGGCCGGCGGCCTTGGACATTCTCCGGCCCTCCTCCGACTCCCCTTTCCCTCCTTTCTTGTCAAAATCCATAAGTTTGTGGTACCCTGGCCTCTCCACGGTGACTCTGCTGCCGTTCAAATCCGGCTCCACGGAGACCTGCGGTCGCGGCGGCTCTTCAGGGTTAACACCCCATGGCGCCCGGAGCGCTCCAGCTAGTGGGACGCGGGGGCGCGCGAGGGCCCGGCCGCAGTGCTCATCTCGGTGGCCTCCGGGTCGCGCACGGGGGGAGGACTCATGCTGCTGACGGGTCCTGGGGGCTCAAATCTCGTGGGTCTCGGCTGGAGGAGAAACAGAGGCCCAGGTTAGAAGGACACGCGCCTCCCCGACACGTGCCCCGAGGTCCAGAGCACAGCCTGGCTGGACCTGGGACTGGGCGTTCACTGCTGGTGGAACCTCCTTCTGGAAAGATCTCTGAGGCACTGGTGCAACCTGGAGCCTTCTGGGGGCTGAGGGGTGGGAGGTTCAGGCCTCTTGAGAACCCCAAGCATCCCCTGCTGCCCACCCCCCTCCCCCCCACCAAGGGCTGCAGGATGGCTCTGCCGGCAGGGATAGATGCCCAATCGAGTGACCGAGGCGCCACCCCCGCCCCTGCCACGCGGCACTGAGCCCTCAGAAGAGGACAGACGCAGAGCAGTACATGCAGGGGCCTCAGAGACAGGCCCCACCACTGACATGGGGACTCCAGAGATGCCCCTCCCTCCCCCACCCAATGTCCAGGGGACATAGAGGTCCCTGGGCCTCGTTCCAGGAGCTCGTGACCCTGTGGTTAGGTGGGTGACCCGCTGCTGCGGGACAGAAAGTAGGCAAGGAGGGGCTACGGAAGCCAACACCAGCCTGGCTTCATCTGGCCCAGCGGCCCCCTGCCTTGACAGGGCTGGCTGTGCACATGTCGCTGGGGTTGAGTCCGGCCTGGCCTTGCCAGTACAAAGCTGGGGTTGTGGACCGGATGGCAGGTACCCCAAAAGTCCCCCAGGTTGCAGGAGAAGCAGCCCAAACTAGGGGGTGTGGACACATGGGGCAGGTGCCCTGAAGCAACCCAGGCTGTGTCTGTGGTGTGGGCTCCTCCCTCCCCCCAGCCCTCCCTACACCCCCGTGCAGACCAGTCACCCTGTGTGCAAGACAGAGGAGGGTGTCCCCTGCCAGCCATCCCCTTCTCTCAACCACAGTTACTGCACCCTCCAACAGGCCCTCACCGCCTCCCATTCTCTCACACCGAAGTCACAGGAATCTCTCTAGAAAGAAAACACTAGCGTCCTCCTCTAACACCTCCCTAGCCCCGACTGGCCACTGTGAGGCTCACACCTCTGCCCCTCCCTACCAGGCACTCAAGGGCTGACACCAGGTGAAGGCCACGCCCACTTAACAGCCAGGGTGAGAGGAGGCTAGAGGCGGCTCCTTCCCAGAGGGTAGGGCGTACCAACACCAGGGCCCTAAGGTTTCAGCAGGATCAGCTCTGTAGAGCCTGGTGCCCTAGCCCCTGAATGGGTGCCCACACAGCCTCCCGTGCTGATGGACAGAAGGGCCAGGCAGCCCCCGTGTGTCACTGACGGCACAGGTGCCAAGAACAGGCCCCAAAGAGGGGACCCCCTGGGTACATGCCCAGAGGCAGGACCACAAGCTGGTAAGACTGAGGCCGGGGTGCTCACACACACGCGTACATGCCAGTCCTCGCTTGGGCACAGCCCAGGAGAGTCCCAGACAGGCAGAAGCCCGGGCTTCAGGCCAAACCTCACTGCTTACAGCCGGCGGCTCCCACACTTCCCAACCACATGAAGAGCGTGCACAATCCGACCCCAGCCAAGACCCGCGCACCCAGCTCCACTGCTGCTGGGGTTCCTGGCGGCCACGTCCACCCCCAAGCAAGGGCCCAGCCTGGGGCCGTGTGAATGCGGCTTTTACACCAGCAGTGTGTGCCCCTCCTGAGACCAGCGCCCTGGCACCTGTGGACGAGACCCCCCCTCACCGGGCTCAGGGGTGCTGGCCTGGCCAAGCAGCTGCTGCTCCGCCTACACCTCCATCTCCATTGGTTGCGCTTATGGGAGACTGGCCGGAACCACTGCGACGCCAAGGGGGCACTAGACAGCAGGAGTGACCAGAGGGAGGGAGGGAGGAGCCTGACTGAGGAGCCGGGGGCTCAGGGCAGAGCAGGCTGCCCACCCAGCCCCCCACTCCACGGGCCGGCCTCCACCTCAAGGGGCCATGCTGAGCCCCAACTGCCCACAGTTCCCTGTGGGGGGAGGCTGTTCAACCTCGAGGATTTGGGAGTTAACTGTGAACAGCTGCTACAAATTTACAAGTAAATAACTACATTAAAAACATTAATATGTAGTAGAGAGCAAACAACTAATAGGGACCTACAGTAGAGCACAGAGAACTCTACTCAGCACTCTGCAATGACCTATGTGGGAAAAGAATCTAAAAAAGAGTAGATACGTGTAAACCTGCAACCGGTTCACTTTACTATATACCTTTACTAACACAACACTGTCGATCAACTCTACTCCAATAAAATTTAAAAGCACACAAAACAGCCAGCAAGCCTACTGGGGTCGAGACTGCATGCCTGGTTCTGAGCTCCTGGGACATCTTTATTCACATCTGGAGACAACGACCACGGGGCTTACAACCCCTTCCAGAGAGGACAGACCAACGGCTCTTACTAGACCTTGCTTTATGCTTGCAGAGTTGTGCTACAATCACCTCTGGCTCCAGAATGTTCCATCCCCCAAGAGGAAGCCTGTTCCCATCAGCAGTCACCCGCCTCAGCCCCTGACCACCAGGAACCCACTCTCTGTGTCCGTGGATCGGCCTGTTCTGGACGCTTCCCACCAGTGGACTCACGCCCTGTGTGTCCTGTGTCTGCTTCTCTCCTGAGCGTCGTGTCCTCAGGGCCTGTCCACGCGGTATCGAGTGTCAGGGCTTCTCTCCTTTCCATGGCTGAGGGATGCTCCTGGGTGTGGAGGGACACACTCACCCATAGAAGGACACCCAGCTGTGTCCACTCTTGGGCCACAGTGAACAGAGTGGTTACAGTGCTTTTGCACAAGTTTCCAGGAGGCCACGTGCTGTCCCCCTCCCGGGCACTACCTACGGCTAGAATGGCAGGGTCAGGTGGAGGCTCTAGCTTAATTGCTGGAGGAACTGGAGGCTGCCTCCCGTCAACTGTCCCGCTTCCAACGGAGCCCTCTGCTGCCTCGGGGTGGTTCTGATCTGCATTTCCCCAAAGGTCCTGCTCCACCTCCAGACACATGCCTTCCTCAGCACTCCCTCCCCCTACCCAGCACCAGACACATTCCTGTGAACCACTCATTGCCTGTGGGAACAGCACCCGCAGGGGACGGGCTGATGGGCTGAGGGTCTTCACAGGGAGGCAGGACAAGGGCCTTCCCACCTTGAGAGGAGGTGAGCCCGGAGGCCAGGGTGCAGCCAGGCTCGGAGCAGCTGGACACCTGACTGCATGGGAGCTTGTGCCCATGACTCGGTAACACGCCAGTGTGGGATTCCTGCAGAGAGCAAGCCCATGCCCTGCAAACATCTGGGTACCTCCTGCTCCCACACAACACACCTGCACAGGTGACCCTCCTTTCTCTGAAATCCTGCCAGATTCCACAACAAGCGGACACCAAAAGCCCCTTGCCCCCGGATGGACAACCAGAAGTGGTTTCCTGCCAGATTTTCTTTCCTCTAGGAAATTAACTAAAACACAGGTCCGCACGCACACCCCCACCCACAAAGATGCACAGAGGTGGTCGTAGAACCCACGGGAAGGTCAAAGACAGCAAGGAGATGTCTGCATTCTTCTGTCTCCTTGCCTGAGGACACTGCGGGCACTCCCACCAGGCGCTCCCGCACACAAGCAGCAGAGAAAGAGTCAGGGAGTGTATGGCCGTGGCAGGACACTGTAGGGCCCCCACCCAGGGGATGGAGGAGACACGCATGGAGGGACAGCGGCCCAACCAGGAAGACCACTTGGGAACAAAGGAGGGGAGGGGAGGGTTGGAGATTGGGGCTAGACTTCCTGGCCAACAAGATATGGGTGCGTCCGCGTCGATGGAGGAATGGTGGGCAGGGGCCTTGCAGTCCCCCATGCCGCTGCTGTGACCTACTCATCCCTCACAGGCAGGGACTAAGGTCTGCGTCCCACTTTGTGCAAACTGTTTTTATGGGGCAGCATCACCAAACATCACTCTGCCCGGACAACACATACAAGGAACCCTCCAGACCTTACTTCCCTGTACTCCAACCCCCAACTCTCCTGGGAGGCCCTCCCCGGTCAGCAGCACAGGGCACCCGCAACACCCGGTGTCCTGCCCTGACAGACTCCATTCTGAGCCGTGACCCCTGGTCAAGGCGGGTCATGCTCTCAGCCCCACCCCGAGATCCACAGCGGCCTCTTCACCTCTGTTTGGCCTCCAGCTGCAAACCTTTCTGAGCTCGCAGAGCTTCCTTCTGAAAGCAGCAAAGCCAGGAGACCTGCGCCCTCGGGCTGGCTGGGAGGCCACAGGGTACAGGACGCGAGGCTCAGGGTAGGGACACTGCCCCCCACAGACCCTCCTCCAGGGCTGCCTTCGGGGACCCCGGTAACGCCCATTGCCTACTGTAAGTGAGACTCTGCACCAGGAGCACCGTGTCGGCCCCCATGCCCAGAGTCACGGGGGTCCTGGTGTGCAGCACACGGACAGCGACCAGGCCTCAAACTAGAAGCTGTGGCGGGTGTGCTGCCCCAGCCCAGCCCGCCAGCCCACGTGGCCCTGACGAGACACCAGAGGCCTGCCCCATCCGTCAGCCCCTGGACAACAGGGCAGGTGTGTGGCCACCACAGGGTCACCGCCTGCAGGGGACAGTGGACACCAAGGAGACAGGTGAGGAGGCCAGACCCTGACCCTCCCAGAGACAGGACGCCAGCACCTACTCAATCCATGAACAGGAGCTACCACCTACCACCCCACAGGGGTCTTCCTGGGTCCTCTCCTGGGACCTCGGGGGGGACGGCCAGAGCGAGTCACTGGCTGGCCTGCGGGGCGCAGGAA